TAGCGGTGCCTGTAACATTCAGGAAGTTTGGTTAGAATTGTGATATTTTGTTGTTTGCAGAGAGCCAGGTGAAGAAGGCAGCCTTTGGTGAATTTATTTGACAGAGACAGCTTTTGGGAAGTGGATACGACAGACAATAGTCTAATCAGGGCTTACAGACGCAGGAAACAATGACTTCGAGGTTCATCACACTGCTAAGCAGAATCATCATTGGAAATTGTGTGGCACACGGTAGGGAAGCTAGTATTTATTTATGAATGTCTTGAATTTCAAGAGTATGTAGGCTGACTGTAAGGAGAGGACGCGGTCTGTTAATGCGCTTTTTGGTATCTCAGAACTGTGCAAGAACTGAACCATGCCGAGCCCTACTATCAAACTAGTAACAGTTTATAATTAAAGCTGTTTTCTCCCACTGAGGGTTATATGGCTACAATGCAAACTACATGACTCAAAGCAAATCCCTTACTTTTCACAATATGTAATTATTTTTGATACAGAAAACATATCACTAGAAGAGGTGAAGTAATCAAGTTTAAGCATGGTAGTGCAATAAGGCTTTTTAATAGAAAGCTGTTGACCTCCTGTGTGCAGTGGATCTGGAGCTGAGGATCCAGTCTGTAGTCCAGAGCAGACTCTTGCAAGATTACTCGAATTTGATCTTCACAGTCAGGAGACAAACGCTGCAAAACAGGAAGTCAAGAAACAGGAAAACCTTTGAGATTTGTCAGTATTTGCAGATTAAAGTTTTCATTTTTCAAAGAACTACTTTACTTTTTCTTTAAAGATACATTAATAACTACAAATAGTGTGTGGCTGTACAGTTTTGGGCCATCTTTCCAAACAATGGTAATTAATTTTTTTCCCGACCATCCTAGCTGTTCCATGGTGGAATATCAACCACATTTGTTTAACATGTACTATTTTACTGTCACAAATATCAAAATAGTAGATTATTAAAAATGCATGACTGTCAAAATGTCTGCAAACTTGTGTTAAAGGATTTTTTCACCTACAAGTACCATATGCATCACCCACTAAAGGCGAACTCTGAGACAGAAAAAAAAAACAGACATGAATTTAAAATCAGTTTCTAAACTCGTTCTTATGATCAGATCGAGTGTGATTAAACTTGGTCACAAACTCTGTCAAGTGGTTTTTAACTGTACGAGAGTATATAACCAGAGCCAAATGCATAGCAGCAATCCCTATATAACTATTTAACAGACATTGAGATATTGCCATTGACAGCATGCTATGAATAACTAAGAACAATTTTTAAAAAATAATTTGATGCAGGCATGTCATGTTAAAGAATTTTCAAGATTCACAAACAGAAATCTTGCAGCTTTTGAAACAAATGAATATATTGTCTGAAAGTTGGTTTTGGGCCAGCCAAATAAATAGACTAATAACTACATGAGAATGGGAATCAAACATCCATGTCATGACTCTGACCTGGTCTGCATATTTGAGTTTCAGGCAGGAAATGACCTGACCCTCTAGCTCCGTGTCGGCTGTGGCCTTGTTGATGATGGACTGGCAGAATTTTGGGATATCAGCCTTGCACGCCTTCTTTAGCACCGGGTTCAATCTGAAGTCTGAATACACACACATAAAAAAACTGTTACATTTCCATGTTTCTGAGCAGATATATCCTGGGTTCAGATTGAGAGGTGAAAGGCAGAACAGCTGCTGTGTGAGAACCTGTGTTCTGGGTAATCTGTCTCTTGGTGATCAACTGTTTGCACTTCGGATCCATCAGTTCACTGTTCTTGTTCTGCTTCAGGCACTGAAGAACATTCCTCCCCTCTGATTCTGTACAGAAACGCTAAACAAAAACAAACAAAAACAAAATATATCGAAGTGAGTGAGGTTGGTTGGTCACAGTTTAATTTATATTGCAAAAATACAGATTCGGTTGGAAAATGCCAGAAATAAATTACCAACGTGAAGAGCTGGTGAATTATATCATGGTTTACCTAACCTGGATAGTGTTTGAAAAAGGGAGGGACATAAGTCACCAAGTCGCACCTGCCTCCCATGTGGAGCTTTTAGCCAATCACAGCAGCAATAGAACCTGTGATGTATCACATTCTTGATTTGTAAATCAAACTCTTACAGAATCTGGTCAGGAAATGGCAGCTATTCAGGCTAAAACCAACACAGCCATGTTTGTTCTAATTTAGTCTTCTGTTTCTGGTTGACGTGTTGATGTCACACACGTTACTGCATTTCATTGGTCTGAAACATTTCTATATCTATTGGGTTCTGGCAAGATGCATTTTTAGTAGTTTGTAAATTAACAAATCTTGCGACAATTCATCTTGCTAAGAAGGTAATGGTTTACCATCTCCTGTCAGCAAGCTAGCTTCACTTGACTAAGAGGTAAAGGTCCCATATTATGCTAAATTCAGATTATAAACATTTTGTAACAGTCATATGTGTCCTGAAGCCTCTGTTTGAGGTTAAACAAAAAAACACTTTCACCTCTATCATTGCCTTTCTCCAGCTCTTAGCTAATATGTGCTCAAAGTGCTATGTTTGAAAACAAATCCCCTTATGACATCATAAGGGGAAGTAGCCACTACCCTGGCTATCAGAGACCGCGGACTAGCAGGCGCCTTATTCCTTTTCACAGACCTGGAGCTTACAAACAGATAGAGCTAATATTAGAGCACCAGGTGCTCTGTTAATATCTACATAAACAAAAACAAAAAAAGAAAATCTGATAAAATCCATCTGCTGAGTCTTCAGACTTTTATCTTTGAAAGAAATCTACCTGCAAAACTTCAGAAGGTTATTCATCTGTGTACTGAGCATTTCAAGTGTTCCATGCTCTGTATTGAGATAGTAGAGTCTGATTTATCTGTATTTCTGCAAGAATAAAAAAATGGATATTATTGTTTTTTATTATTACAGAATAAATGAATGGCAGTTAGCAGTAATCTGGTCAACCTGCTCCCATTCTGTATTGTTGTCATTTCCCAGCTACCATCAGTTATGGTTGGGCCTTTATCTTGTGTAGAATTTGGCGGCCCTAGCCGACATCTTTACAAACTGACTGGTTGTCATCTTTGAGGTGGTTTTTGGTACATTCTGTCTGCATATTCTGAGAGGAACTCTGCTGAAACAACTGAACAGTTAAAACATGCTTTGGGGCCTAGTTGGGAAAGAAATACCAGTATCTTTTCCTGACAGTCTCACTCTGCCTGGGCATCATATAGAAAACCTTGCTTGTGCACAAAGCAGCCATTGCACACACAAAAAAAACCCTCATTAAAACGTATCACTGTGTTACCAGCTTGGATAGTATGCTGAATGCAAATACTAGTACTAAAGCACACTGGGTATGCACACAAAAAACGTAATGTTTAATCAATAAGTTTTAATTTATAAAAACTATTTGTGTAAAATATTTGTTAATCCACACAAACATTTGATCTGCTGTGTGCTTGTTATTTTCTGCCAAATTGTTGCAAAAAATTCCTAGGCAGATTAAATTTCTAACTATTCAGGGTTTTTCATTTGTGGTACATTTAACAGAGAATGTTTTTTGTTTTTTCTTGTTTTTTCAAGTTTGAGCTTTTGTGGTTCAAACCTGAGCTTTTAAACTAAAACCACAATTAGTCTCAAGCTATAGCACAACATATCTGATTCTTAGGTAAGTAAGACAATGTGACAAATGAATAAGATTACTTACATTTAAAATGAAAAACAAACCAAGTCTATACTGTTAAGCGCAAAATATCTAAATATCTAAATTTAAAGCCAAAAATACGAATTCCTTTAAGTTATCTATGAAAACAGGCTTATTCAAGTGTAACTTTTAAAAAGTTTTGTTTTTTATCAGGTGTAGCTGTACCTAAACACACTAAGGAGCATAAAATGAGTATAAATTGTCACATGGGCCCTCATATTTTCAAACTTCTAAGATCTGTCCCTAGAATCCCATCTCTGCACTCTGCGCTGTGGGAAAAAGACTCTTGCTTGTCCGTTGATTCAGTTTTGAAAAATGGCAATAACTACATACATTTATCAAATTAATAAATATAGCTGGGTAAACAGTATCGTTTTATTCTAATGCATCAAATAAGTCATATAAAGTGGTGACCCATTTTTAATGTTGCTGGTTGGCCTACCCGGATCATGTGCTTGCAGACTTTCATCAGCTGGTAGTCCAGTTCAGGATCAACCATCTCCACCTCCTGAAGCTTGAAGATCCTTTGGTGACAGCGTGGATACAGCTGCCGTTTGTTCTCTTTCAGACACTCAACCACCTACAAAGGGATGGATTTAAGCCAAAGTTTAGATACTGACTGCTTAATAGAGGAAAAGGAAATGGTGGATAAAAATGGCAGCAGAATGTATCCAAAGTGTTGGATATTAAAAGAAACCGTTTCAGACCCAAACTAAACAACAAAGATAGTACAACTGC